TTTTCCATTCAGACAATTTGGTTTGTTTCAGAGCTTTTCCCTTTAACAAGTACGCAGAAAGAAATAAAAAAAAACAGATTAAAACATTTTATCTTTACCACAAAATAAAAATTTAAATTACTACAGGGGTAAAATTCGCCGTAGCTTTTTGTGTACCATCATTAGCAAATACATGAAAGCAAATACTTCATTTTTTTTAGCTCTAAAAATTTACTACAACCATCTTTAATGGAGTGATTAGTATCTTTTAGTAATCTACTTCATCAATAAAACATCTCACTTTGCTGACCCATCCAGCTCTAATTGGTGGCTAATTTATTGGTGGTGTTTGTCTGGCTGGGCCTGTTACCTGACAGAACTGTTTCAGGTACACAGGGGAGAGGTTAATCTTAAACTAATTACACTGACTCTATGATGAGAAAAACATCTTCTGGCCCAGCTTTGTCTCTCACAACAGTCTCTTGGTGAGCAGCTGCGAGGAGAGATCTGTAAATTATTTTTTGATGGCAAGAACTGAAGTGCTAATGGCTGGAGATCACTGTTTCAGCAGTATTTTATTTATTTTTTTTAAGTGATTTCCATATAAGTTACGAGGCATATGATAAAAGTAGTCATTCTTACAAAACATTAAAAAAAAAAATACCAACCTGTCAGACGCTGAGGGCAGAGTCAATTTTTTTTTTAGTATTTTCTAAGACAGCATGCCCTGGAGAAACACAGGCTTCATATTAACATATTCATACTCATCTTGGTCTGTGGATATTCTCTCATTTCTCTCCTTGAAAAAGTGAAGAAGTATTGCCTACAATCCTGAGCCTAAATTAAGGCATTCCATGCCATATATTTTGACAAATTGGATTAGTCATTAAATTTCTCCATATATGTTTCCCCATCTGTAATATGCACTAGTCACTGTAGAAATTAAAATTTGAACAAGTGTTGAAACCGACTGATACCTCCTCTAGTTTTCCTGAAGTAAGCTAAAAATGCAAATTTACCTAACTTAAAGCTTTTAAAAAAAATTTAAGAAAGATTAACTGCTTCACATAAAAATGGATTTCTATTATTGAGCCAAAAATGTTATGCTTGACTGCCTTGGGGATGTCACACTCAGAGTGCATCCACAGATTCCTAGAAATTCCAGCATACTGCAATCACTGCAGACAATAACTTCTTCATTTACCATCTGTAACCACTGCAAATTTGTTTTCAAACCCTCACACTTTCTGTTTTGCTTGGTAACTGAATATCTGAGAAACACAGAGACATAAAAAGAGAAAAACAGCCAGAAGATTGCAACCCTTACTACTCTTCAAGTCCCCAGCTACGATGAAAAAACTTACTGTTTGGGCCTTGACACTATTTCTTCTTCCTTCTTGATGGCAGAAAAGGAAGTTTTGAGGTGGGAAAATGATATTTTAAATTAGAAAAAAAAAATAGGAAGCAAACACTTGAAAAGCTACATGTAAAAGGATTTCTCCCCCAATTAAAAAATTATCTGAATTCAGATATTGCCTTCACCTGACGATCATAATTGGTTTCCCACGGCTGTAAGACGGGATAATGTCCCAAATACCCAGCTGCCACACTTTGGGTTTTTGCTGGAACTTGCATGAATATCTATGCATTGGTGGAAAAACATTCTGCCTGTAAATGAAATAAGGAATGGGTGGAGGCAGAAAAACATATTTCCCTCAATTTCAACACATATTTTAAGACACAAGAAACATTTGAGAAGGAAAACAGGAGGTGCTGCACAAAAACTTTGCAGAATCAGCTGTTTGAGACACTCTTCTAAGACACAGAGTTTTGGATTCACATCTTTGTTCTAATTAGAAGATGTACAGACAACTCTACAGGAAATGTGGCAGTGTCCTTCTCAAATACATCATTTCTTCCATCAGTTCCAGTCTCCACATCTGTGAAATACACTGGATTATGGTGGGGGATAGCTCTGTTTTGGGGTACGAATATTTTCATTCCAAATATCTGCAAACTGGCTTAAAAACATGCCTTTTGCAGTCTGCCTTTTTAATAGTGATATTATAAAGCTTTGTTGCCAACAATTAATTCTATGACACTAATTCTATTGGTTTGAAAAGGTACTTAAACAAAGTATTTGTAATTGTTCAGTGACACGGTATTCAAAGAATTCTTTGGGAGGTGCTGGTGACCTCTGCCTCAGGGAAAGGGATGTCAGTGCTGAAGTAAGACAAATAAAATGGACATGTAGGTCTATTGTCCTGCCCAACTATTTAGGCAACAGTTGCCAAAAGCAAGTTAAGGGGGGAAAAAAAAAGTCAGTTTTACCTAAAATAAATTAAAATATTATTTATTTGACATTAAGGTTATGCTGGTTGTTAAAATTATTCTCCCAGAAGATAATGGATATGGAATGGATTCACTCAGTCAATATCAGATTTACCTTAGATTTACCCTCCTTCAAATCTTTTGGAGTACGTTCTGTACAGAGCTAAACAATGCCAAAATCATCCTAATAGTTTGTCAGAATACCAGAATATCAAAGAATTGCTGTGTACAACAGGTTTATCTGAAGCAGTTTAAAAATGGAAAAGTGTTGCCACCAAGAGAATTAAGGCTACAGCCTGTTCCCATCTCTCAGATGAATCTCCTAAACCAGTTTTTCTTCAGGCAAGAGTGGCAGTTCTCCTTCAAATTCCCAGTGTCTAAAGCTGTGCACAGTCTTCCCATTAACTTTCACCTGACACTTCATTGTGTTCCCACAACCACCCAAAAAAAAAAAACAACAACTGTATATGACCCTACTTACCTACTTACTACCTCTTTTACTTCAGGATGTATGAACTCAATTACTCCATCCTTGACTGAAGGACCAATTTCTACCTTTTTTTTTTCAGTTACAAAACTTGCAGCTTCTAAATCCAGCTGGGTGGAAAATGGCTGTTTTGCTTTCCCACGTGCACATCAGCAAATTTGTGCGTGCACAAAGGCCGACTTCTCAGTCCAGGATGCAATTTTCAATTACCTTCTCATGAGTCCCAGCTATGTCCTTGGTTGTCTGCCTGCATAGAACCCCTGAACTGTCGTGATAAGAATCACTTCTCTCTCAGAAAATGACAGTCTCTCGTTATCACCGTATTTTTAAACTTCATTTTAACACCTCTTCTCCTCTTTGCTTTAATTGTGGATATCTTTCCTATTCTGGCCACATAGCTGAAAGATTCAATTTTTCTGCTGAGTAGAGTTTTTCTGCCACGTATCTGCAATTCCCATCACATTACCAATTTGTCTGATTCTTCTCATGCACACTGACCACTTAAATATGTTACCCTAAGTTTTAATTTTGTGCATCTTAAAACGTTAAAATTTTCACGGTGATTTTTCTGCCACAAACGAAAAATAAAAAATACTCTTTCCAGTTTATCTTCCCTCTCAGTTTTTAAAGCTACAATTGACAGATGACTGACATAAGCTCCCCAGCAGTATTAAGACAAAGTTTCCCAAGTGGCTTCAACAGTGTCAGTAGTGATGGGAGAGAAAATGGGAGATCATCATTACTCTCTAAGTTACCATACATTTGGACAGAATTAGCATCAATAGTGCTTTCCTTAACCTGTCAGAAATAAGACCAAAGTGTCTTTCACGTGTGATATCAGTTGTATCACAAAGCTCATGGAGGAGCAAGAAATTCTTATTACCAGACTCATATCCACAATGGGGGGGTTGATATAAAAACAAAATTTTAAAAAACCTCCCCCAAACTCTCTGTAGTGAACCACTTGGACCTTGAGGCTAAATTTGGCCTTAAACAAGATGTTTTCAAACTAAAGGAGAAGAGGAGAGGGGGTAGAGGGGGTTGTTCTCATGCTGTTCCTTTTCCCACCCTGCGAGCCACCACTGAGAAGCTGCAAAACTCAGAAAGTTTTCTCAGAAACTTCATGCAGAAACTCTGTCCAGGCACACCCTGACACACAGACACATACACTCACCTCTCCACTTGATGGCAACGAACTTCCAATCCCTTACATTTTTTTTCCAGCAGTTTTTCTCATGGAATTTGTTGTTATATTGGTTATTTTAGCCCCATTTCATTTTAATCCACCCCCAAAACCTCCATCAGTAACAAACCTGGTTGCCCTGCACCAGAGAGGGGTAGCAACCCTTTTCCCTTGGAACCTTTGTATGTATTAACAGATGTTAGCACAGAAATGGACACAGGTCAAGAGATTATTCAGGTTTCAGAATGATGTCTGGTCTAAGTTCCATACAAGATGTGTAAAAAACATGGCACCTTTTGGTTGTGAGATGTGATATTTTGTTATCATTCATCAGACGAGAAGAAAAAAGAAAGGAATTAGATGTCAATTTTTTAAATGGTAGGAAGTTAACACTGTGATGTCCTCACAGCTTATAGGAGATCCTATGATTTTGAGGGGTGGGGAAACAGAGACACGTGAGATTTCTTTTGAAACTGCAGGTAAGAAAAAGCAATTTGGATTCATCCCAAAAAGATGCCATTAGGAACTCCAGGGACAGCCTTACCTGAGTTAGGTGAAAGCTCAGTACAATGTCAGCCTACATGGAGTGACACTGTGATAAAGCACATTGTGCTCTTATATTGAAATGGCTCACAAAGTCATTTAGAAGAAGTGCTTTTAAAACATGACCTGTAATGAGCTGTTGAATGCTAATGACAGAGCACGTTGCAAAGGACAAGAATTTCAATGTTAGTGCAATGAATGAGAAAGGATTGTATATTAATTTGAACATCAAAAATAACCAGTGCCACAAATGTAGGCCTTTTGCCAAGCACCAGCTTGACAAAAAGGATTAGTTAACTTCGAGGGTTCCTTTATTAAATTATGCAAGTAACTGTGGTTAAAGCCACGGCCACACAACATGGCATATTTCCCAGTTGCTCCACAGGCCATGGAATGTAGTAATTCCATACTGAAAAACATAGTTAAAGAGGCTATAACATAAAAGAAATGAAAATTATTTTAAAGAGGATGAGAGTGAACACAATATCTTGATTTGAACGAACTAATTCTTCCATACAGGATCAAATTCCCATCCCAGGTCACGTCTCAGTCCTGCAAAAATGGCTAGTCAGGTCAAGGCTGGGGTTTTTTGCCTGGTTCCCCAGCCACATTCTGACCCCTCAGTTCTCCCAGCTCCATCTGTTGTTGTCTGCTGGGTGTCCTTTCACAGAAACCCTCTTAGTGTTTTGGGTCAGGAGTACAACAGCCTTGAGTGTTCACAGGAATCCCAATTTAATAATCTATTTTCCTAAAAAAAATATACAAACACAGACACAAAAGAGCACACACTGAAACAACAATCTCTTCTCAAGGGCTGCCTTTTTCACATTTTCATCATCTCAAGTGTTCTCAGTTGAGGAGAAAGGGCAGACAATGCAGCTTTCTAATGTATAACTAAAAAAAAATATTATTCAGTGTTGTCACAAACCCCACCTTTGCTATATTTAACAGCAAAATCCTCCCCAGGATCTCAAACCACAAGTGTAAATTATGCCTGCAAAGATGGGATCACCAGGATGGTTCTTCTGGTGCTGATTGTTCTCCATCAGAGGCTTTTTCTCTTTCTTCATTCCTCTTCTTACAAAGCTGATATCCTCCTTTGAGCTGGATAATATAACTAGTCATATTTTGTAAAGAATAGCAATATTTTTTACTTTTTAAAGCCAGTCTCTAAACAAAGTAGCTGCCTAGATTTCTGATGAGGCAGATGCTGCAGCAGCTATACAATTCTGTGGTAAGATGCCAAAAAAATGACCAGGAGATATAAAAAAACCCTTCATCACAGAGAAATTAAAGCACTTGCACCGTATGAAGCATCCAGAAACAAACAATAACAAGTGGTCACTGCAACAAAATTTCTACTTTACACTCAATGCTCCACATAGAAAAGGAAATATCTTGTATTTCTGTTAAATATCATTGAGAGGATCCCTGCATGACTGTGCTTATCCAACTGATGTCAAGAAGTCTCTCACATATCTCTGCCTTTCCATGTTCTTCAAGTAAGAGAAGAGTTTAAAGCAAGTTTTATCTTTTCCAATGGGATAGCACCTATTGCAAAAAAGCTCCTACTTCTTTAGTCTTTCACAGAACAAAAACTTACCCAAAATTAATATTTAATATGTGAAATAAAGAAAGTTTAAGTAAAATGTGTACAGAACAAAAGCAATCCTGGTTTTTCTATAAAATACTGAAAATGCACTGAAATGCTGAAGTACAGGTCAGGAATTGAATACAGATTATACATTCCTAGCATTCCTGAAAACATGCACAGACATATATATACATATCTTTAATGACAACAGGAAATGCAACACGTGGAATTCTGCTGTTTGTTTCAATTTTTGACAACTGTTGTGAATTAGGACCCAATAACTTGTTCCCAGAAAACATGGAAAAATGGGTTACTGCTCTGACATGAAAACTAGACCAGAAATACTTCTCTAAGCATGCCAGCTGATATTTTTGTGATAAGTATCCTGTAAACTAATTTCTATATAATTTGAAAACTTTCATCTCTACACCAGCATACACTCTTCCCTGATTCAGCTGAGATTTTATTTTTAAAAATGGTTTCCGTTTAATTTTAAATGTGTCTTGGGGACACTGGTGCAGGGAATAATAATTATCTTGGGCTTGAGAATTTAGTAGTATGAAGATCAGGGCTTTTATTCTGTGTTCTTCACTTCAACAAGACACATAACCTGTGTCAGAGAACATCTAAAGTAGCCAATTTGCAACAACAGAAAATTTATATTAATGTTGTTTCTACTGCCTAAACGTCTAGTTACATTACAAAGGGTTCATTATCTTTAATAGGCTCAAAGTAAATAAATTATTTAGATAGTGAATCTATCCTAATGACTGAGTAAAATTAAGATATCTGGGGGAAAGATTTGGATTATTAATTAATTTGTACGTGTTAAAGGCAAAAGAGAATTCTGTGCATCTCACACAAATGTCAATAGATGTAAAAAATTAACAGATGTCTGATCAGGTGGTTTTTGTTTGCTTAGGTTGTGTTTTGGAGACGTTTAGTTAATAAATGCCATTGGTGCTAATGCTTATTCAATCCAGCTATGCAAAGTTTTTTTAAATCTCTGTAATCCAGTAATATTTTCAACCTATGCCTTGAAACATGATCACAAAAATACGGATACATTAGAACTGCTAAAACAAAATAGCAAAAAATAGTAATAAAGGAATGAAACTGGTCCAGTACATCACAACAAATGGCCAGAAACACACATCACTGACACTAGAAAAATCCAGATCCAAATTTTTCATTGCAAATATTTCTAACACTGATCAGTCATATAACATTATAAAAGCCATTCTAGAGCAAGTTCTGCTCTGCACAAACTAGGACTGATATTTCCTGCTGAGTCTAGAAACTAACAATAACTTTCAGAGGTCATTCTTTGCTTAGATCTCCTATGTCAGAAAGAAAAAGAAAAAAAGACAAAAAAAAATGAAAAGTAATTCAGAGGTTTTCTCTTTTTGTGTGTGTGTCTACAACAATTAGTCCAGCAGAAATGTAGTTATGAGCAACTTCCAGAAAGGCAGGGAAAGGGGTGACATGAATATAACTGGCTACATGGTTTTACAAATTGTACTGTAAGGACAAATAAGGCTTTCCCAGAGAAAAATGTAAATTGGATCCTTTCTAAATTCCCACGGGGGTTGAGGAAAAAAGTCATCTGTGTTAAACAAGTATCCAACTCCTACAGTAGGGTCAAGCAACAATGTCCAGCAAAAATGCTTTTGGAGAATTTGTGATAAGCTGGAAGTCATCCCACAATTAAGGAGGGAAGAAAATTTAAGAAGTAGAAAAAATTAGATGTGAATACTGACTGTTTCCAAGCAATATATTCTGTCAGCATAGACATCAGACAGCCTTTACTGCCACAGGTTTCATGTGTTAACAAACATCTGAATGTATGTATCAACTTATAAATTAGTATAGGGAATAAAGCAGTTAGTAGGCAATGACAACTTAGAGAACCAGGTGATAGTGCAGGCTGGATTCACAATTAAAATATAACATTTAAATGTGAAGTGCCATAGCTTGCAGCACTGGGGATTTTAGACAGAACATTCATTTACAAAAGGGTTGAGACTTCAGGATAATTGGAGATAGAAACAAAGATAATTGACTAAGGTATTACAGAAATGGCAGAAAAATCACTATGAAGTGGAAACCACAGATATAAAAAAAAATTATCCTAAAATAGGAAATCAAACCCAAATATTCTTAAATATCTTTTGCTTTAAAACATATTTTGCTAGGAGTTTTAGGAATACTAAATCAGAAAGAAAAAGGATTTATACTCAACAGCCAAAAATCTCACCAAACCCACATATATCTCTAGGCCTTATGTTCTTTAACATTATGGGATGTGTTTTTTTTCACTTAGGCAAGATACACTGGGGAAACTTCTTTCATGAATTGACTCAAAATAAGTGTAAGAATATAACACAAATATTCTTTTTTAAATTGTCTCCAAGAAAAATGATTCTCCAACCAAAACAGCCAAAAACCCCCACATTGGTAATGTTGTTAATAGTTCCCATACAACTTTTTCCAGGGTTGTGGCCCTAGGTTGAATTTCCTTTTGAAATAGATAAAAAACCAATTTCAAGGTCATAGACATCAGTCAGAGGATTACAACAATCAAATAAATCATTCATGAAATTGTCACAAATTTTCATCTAAGGCATCACTGTTGTTTATATGTTTTATGTTTATATCATAATAGTCCTCCCAGAAAATGAGATCTCCTCACATGTTTTCTCTTTCACTGGAAACTACAGGTTCAATTAAACATTTTGAACAGCAAAAGGCATTAACCAGAACAGTGAATTCTTGCTGAAACCACATTTCCAAGGCTTTGTGTCAGAAGATTCTTGTGTTATTTTTACCCTTTCCCCACTAAGGCGGTCACTTCTGGTACCTAAAAGAATTTGCTGTCTTTAAAATCTTATAGATTTAGGGACTTAAATGGTTTCTGAAGCAGCCCAGGAAGGCTCTAAAAAGTTTGGAGCTGAGCAGGAAGAATCAAACCTGGGGTAGGTAACATGAGACTTAACAGGTAAAAGAATTTGGGAGAACTTGAATGAATTGTTATCATTCAAGTTGCTTGAAAAAAATGATATCTGTATAAAGCAACATGCCAAAATCCAAACTAACATTTTGGCTGAAGTGTAGCACATTCAAGCTGGGGATACAGCCACTCATAGTGCTGCAAACAAATCTGTGACAAATTCAGAAGCAAAAATTCGGAAAAACATAAACCACTCAACTCCAGTGGTGATGGTCATTAACTCCTAAGGATGGTTGTTTCAAGAATATACCTCTAGGAGATTAAATATCAGATCCACAGAGAATCTTGCAGCAATTATTGCTTCCTCACGTTCAGAAATACACACCTAAAAAATCTTCCCCAAACTCATTTGACTTCATGTGATAGATTCCATGGAATCCAGATGACCTGCTCAGTTAGATTATTAGAAGGTCTTCTGTTTTGTCAGTGAAGAGATAATCCTCTGGTGAAGATTAAGTTCTCTGAGACTGACAAAACACACCCTTCCTATCAACATTTCTGAAGGTAGCACATATACTTCGAGCTGCAAACAAACACTCATCTGTGTTTGCTTTATGTTAATGCACATAAATACGTGTTTGTTTTAACATCAGTGACAACAGGTGATTTTGTCATCAAGGCCCAGGATGAAGTGGCTTTTCTACACAAATTCTAACATTAGGAACTCAATTTCTGATTTAAATCACACCACCTTCTACCTGGTGACAATTATTTGAACCCAATGCTTCTAAAAGTATATTCCCAAGTCAAAGACTGCTGTAAAGTCCTGGGAATGAAAAAAATGAGGCCTTGGCCTCACTTGTTGTATTTAGTTTTGTGCAACACTTCAATTGTCCTGCAGTGGGGTAGGAGGACCCTGTACCCTCCCAGCATTGATCTTAATGCCAATCAGGACATTAAAAGAATGGCACTTGTGACTGGGCAGCACTGAGCTAGTCAGTGATGCAACCACGTAATAAATCCAGCTTAATTTAATGGTTACATTTTGCTTACAACTAGTACTTGGGACTGACAGAAACTCAATTGCAAGAGACTCTCTTTTCCACAACATATTTTTTAACGCGCAGGACAAAAAGGTTGAGATTCAGAACAGAAACAGCAGCAGCAGCAGCCAGAGCCCACTTGTGAATCAGCTTGACATTTGCTCTAGACAGCTCTGAAATAGAGAATTACTGTTTCACTTCAGGCCACCCAATTAGACACACAGTAAGTGTTTACAGAGAGAGCCCCTGGTGGCTTCATGTCATGTCCACATTGGATAAATGACAGGTATTTCTGCGTCAGCTTTGCCCATGAAATATTTCTGGAGTCTTCAGAGGGATAGAGACCGGGGAAAAGAATTAAAATGCCCCTTCCCGGTCATTTTTTCCTGTCTTGTTTTCAAGCACTTTTGAGAGTTCGACATTTCAGTATCAAATGAGCCAACCACGCTTTTATTAGTCAGCAAAGCCTCTGTCCCCAAAGATAGTCTAGTAAGTTTGGCATTATGAAGAGTTAGCTATTGCTGCATCTTCTGGAACTGTAAATATCACTGTTACTCTTGCCAGCCTTTTCTAAATTGAATATGGCAGCTTTGATTTTTTTATATGAAATGTAACACAGCATCAGGTTGAACAGCTGGATAAGCTGGAGCCTTGACTGCTTACAAGGTTTTGTGAAACATTAAATCAGAAACGAGCTACACTCTTTCCAGTTCAGTCAAAAAAATCTCCAACCTTGAATAGATACCATTTTTTAAAATAAATATGTACTTGTGCATGTGGGATTGTGTGTGTATGTGTACACACATTTGTAAAATATACAGGAGAGGGGATTTTACATGTATCCACATATACAGGTGTGTGTATGTGTATACTATCTCTCACATTTCTGTGCACAGAAATCACTGAATGCAGATGCTTGGGGTTGGTGAGGGTTTTTCAAACTTCAGTGAGGACTCAAGATGCCTGTGGCCTTCCTGACTCAAGACCCTTTTACAAATTCCTGCAAAACCTTCTTAGGCCTTATTCTGTGTGAAATCAGACACAAAGAGGAACAGGAGAGGAGAGGAGAGGAGAGGAGAGGAGAGGAGAGGAGAGGAGAG